TTTTCCATGGGTTTCATGTGATCGACCGCTTTGCCTTGTGTCTTGTATAGAAGGTTATTCTGAAAACCGTTGGCATTCAAAAATAAGGTAAATTCTTCCAACATGTGTTTTTCTATCACGACAAATATGTCGTCTACGTATCGCCACCAGATTCTAGGAGGATTCGCGAAGGAATTGAGAAGTTTGCATTCCAAGTTCTGCATGAAAATGTTGGCAACAATTTGGGAAATAGGAGATCCCATGGCGATACCTCCAGTTCGTTGGTACAAAGTATTATTATACACAAAATATGTGGATTTCAAACACAATGAAGTGGCTTTCATAATGTCATTGGCTGTTGGGGAAGTACGTTGACTCAAAAAATGGTCATTTAAAGGTAGGGTATGTAAGACAGAAAGACATTCATCTATTGGGATTTGAGTAAACAAAGATACAATGTCATAACTAGCCAGGCACTCGGTGTCTTGCATGCAAGTGTCCTTAAGTTTGTGTAGAAAATGCGTGGAGTCCTTGATGAAACGTTCGTTGAGAGATTGTAAGGGTTTTAAAATCTGGGATATGTACTTTGCTAATGCATAGTAAGGAGTCCCAGTGTAATCAACAATAGGTCCTAATGGTATGCCAGGTTTGTGGATTTTTGGCAGTCCATAAAAACGTGCGGGGGAATTGGACTTCGGGTACAGACGGAACCAAAGTGACTTACCCAACTTTGATTTCAGATCTCGTGATCTCGTAAAATCAGTGAAGATTGACTGAAACCGGTCAAGGGAAATTGACTGAAGATACTTCTGTAAGATCCCCAATGCTTATTCAGCTATTGACGCTCACACTAATGAAGATGTTGAATCCTGACTAGACTGATCATATTATTTGTAATCCCGTTTAGCCATTTGTCCAAATAATTCGTATACGATACTTTTTTCATAGACCCGAGAATAATATTGTTCACCCGACATCCAGCGGTCAGGTACCGACCTTCTTCAAACAATTAAACCAGAATTTGTATTAGTCTAACAAACTTGTTATAGGTTGGTTCATTGGCGTTCTGTTCTTTAATTGCTATTATTTTGAGAAATTCCGCGGCTTACCGATAGACTAAGCTTATCTTACTGAACACATTTTGCAATACTGACGTTTGGTAGAAATGCGTGTTCAACTGTCATCTAAATCTCTTTTGTAAGTGGTAGGAAGAACAAAGGTCAGTTGATAAGAGCTATGTGACATTTGTAATTGGTTTAGATTGATGTCAGTAGTGAGTTGAGCAAACGTGTCTAACCAGTTCCCGGGTACTTTGCTTTTATCTACCTCGCTACCAATTCGATATCAGTCGCACATCTCAGACCCCCACAACAAGTTTGAACATTTGATAAAATGTCTGACACTTTGAACTCATTTTTAAACTTCCTCAGAATCGACTCAGAAAACAATTATTACTATTTTAATGTCGTCTCGGCATGAATTTTTTGCGCAGAGCGTTTTTATCCAGTTCCAACCGCAGTTTTATTAGCACCTTAAACAATCACCACATATCCCAGATATTGAAAATTATCTAATAAAAGGAGCAGTAAACATTGGTGTTATAGCAATAAAATAGTTTAAGTGGATTTTCATCATTATATACTTTTCAGGTGAGAACCCGTATTAGTCATTTCGACTTTATGTTTCAAGAGTTAAAACAAGGCACATCAAATTATCAAATGATTGAAGTGCGCATTTTTATCTCTATTAGAAGATAGGGCAACAGAGGGCCGGTAATTTCCGGAACACAGGACAGTAAATTTGCCACGTTTGTATCAAAGAAAGGAAACACCTTTAAACAGCTTCGCATTGCAAACACAGTTGAGTTAAAAGGTTTTCAAATAGGTGTAAAATAAATTCGTTGTCAGACTTAATATTATTTTCCTGAAGAAGTTCAATGCATAAAAAGTGTCCATCTGTTAACCATCTTTATAATCTCTCAACCGTTGATTGCCTTTGGTTTTTATAAGCTAACTGATGTGAATAGCTGGGTATGGACTATAATAATGACTAAAATAATAATAAATCTAATCCACTCATTCGATGACCGTTTAATAGAATAAACGCAATTTTATTTGATTTTATGGCGCCCGCATTTGCAAGCTATAAATAAACTTTTGTCTTTTGGTTTCATGAATATTTAACCTCCTCATGAGGCAAAAATGGAAAAATACGAACAAAGCGCATTGCTACGGAACTAATTAGTATACCACACGTTTTCTGAGGGTCACTTTGTTTTCTCAAAAACCCTTCGTCATTGGTTTGGTCTGCACTGCTTTCAAAATTGTTGAATTCGGGAGATAAAAGATTTATACCAAACCCACTATATATCAAATGCCAGTCAACCGTTAATTGCCGCTATCAGTGACCGTTACCGCTAATCAAACCATGGGCACACAAGAATAACTTGAAACAAGCAAAGTGCAGTAGAACATTTCGACAACAAAGCTAGCGATTGCTAACTTAAAAATAATGCTTTATCAACTTTTTATGCAAAAGGTACTTTTGTCACATGGTGCGTATTGAACCTGTTTTCGGTCACTTTTTCAGGTGGAATAAATGTTGCATTGAGAAGTTACTTCTGCCGCTTTGGTTTGATGCGGTTTCGGGAAACCACACCCCTGTCGCTACTCAACGCCCTTTGATAAAGCACAATCCAAGTAAAAGGTCAAATAGTAAACAGAGTACGGTGCCGAAGACAAAAACATTTGTGGAGGAAACAAAACAAGTTGCGGCCGTTTTAATTGCAGTCCCAGTTTTGCAATTAGACAAAGTAAACTCTCTAGTAGGAAGTGAGAGTATTGATCCATATTCCAGAAAACGTTCAGGTTAGACCAACATTTCTGTAATTAAACAATTAGACCAGCTAATTAAATAGCGGTTTTTCTATATTTTCTAGCTTATGATATCTATTAACTGTAATACTCCTGGAAATTTAACTGAACATACGCTTTCATATCAGGAGAACTCTAGCGGGAAACCCGTCACGAAAGCCTTTTACCGTTATGTAATCCACCATTTCATTCCGCACTAGTCTCACTGAGCCTGTTTAATATGAACGGAATTCTCTAAATATTACAAACCAGCAGATGCAGTTATTTGAGATAATAATCTTATGAGGAGCATTTAAGGTCTATTCAGCAGTTAAAATTGTAATACCAAGTTATTAGAATCGGTTAACATAATTTATCTCAATGGATACACTATTCACAAACTTGGATTGTATATATGAGAAATATACAAGATTTGAAGCATTAAGACTCACCTGAACGGCAAAACTATTATCCCAATACTTATGGATTTCTAGCAGTTTTGAATAATGTAGATTGCGCCAACGACTTAGACCGCTTACATCGCTCATCTGGACCGTGCATTCCGCTACAGCTGTGCTACACATATCAGGTAGTTTTGTTTATTTTTTTAATCTGTGGTTTCTCGGTCAGAGGGTTCAAGGCGCGAACTAAATGCTGGTTTCCGGGTGCGCCTAATTGCGACCTAACCTATTTCCTATCCCGAATTCACTATCGTTTGCGTAGCGTATCAACCTGATACATATTATTAATATTCAAGTTGGATCTATACATGCTTTAACCTCCCATCCGTTATCATTTAGGTTCCCGAATAAAGTGCTTACTAATATGATACTTTTCATAAATTCGCTGATGACCACTCCGGTGAATAGCACTGAAATCTATGCCTAGCGGCTGTCGCGCTTAGGCGTTTGTTGACAAACCGCCGGACTAGTTTTTACGGGTAGACCACTTTCGCCGTCCGTTACAAGTTAAGGCTATGATATACAACGGTCTTTGGGGGAGGGGGCTGGGTCTATTCTCACTTTGGATAACTAGTTTGGGCTAGAGCCTGGGCACAATCGGACCTACCATCTTGAGTGTGAAAACCGGATCAACGATTAGACAAAACACCCTGTCTTGACCAAATAGCTTTCTAAAGTTTCGGGGTCATGCATTTGGTTAGCTCTACATCACAATGGTCCAACTTAAGCAATACCCTGAAAAAGGCACAACACAATGCAGATGTTAGAGCTCAAAGCCCGTAAACTTAGGGATGTCGTTCTAAATCAGTATGGATTTATGAAGTATTTTTAAGAAACGTTCCAAACATACCACAAATTTTCGTATCCTCCATATTTTCACCTTTTCCGGTTCTATTATCTTTATAATCCTTTCTGTCTTCACATCTCCCATTCTTTATATTTAATTTCCCGCTCATTCTGCAAAACGTAGCTACACTGATTTTCGACGGTTTCAAACTTTGTTGCACACCCTTGTATATTTTCTCCTCCGATATTTGTCATCTGCACTATTCTTCGTTTATTTGAAAACATTTATAAGAACGCTGTTAAACGTTCCGTTAATTTTCCATCTGTGGTGCAATTTGGTTTCGGCAGTCAATGATTTTTCATCCTTTTATACTGTTCCATATATTGTTCGGCAAATTCTACCCCTAGCGGAAATATTACCACTCAGTATGAGACCTATTCATCGCATCTCTGTGTACAATTGAACATGGATTCAGTATCACCCATGTGCATTAAAGTGAAGTGTGCAAACGTTTTATTATAAAATTTCCATTACACATTCTCGTTATCATTTACATACCAAATCTAAACAAAATATCTGATTTACTTTGATTAATCGTATTCGGCTTTGTTATTCTTGGTCTATATTTCCAGCCGAGATGGGCTGATCTGAATTTTACGCAGCTCGGTTTAACACTTGATGCTAAAACGAGTTTCTAAATTTTTTAATGGGAATTATTCGTGTGCATAGCAAATGATGCGTGAACTGAAAAACTAGGAAGCACTGGACAGTTGTTTCAACCTGGTTGGGTTTCATCAGCAGTGGGAATTCATCGACCCCACTGGGTTTAATTTTCTGTTTGATCTGTAAAGACAAGTTGCACGAAATGCAGTAAAATGTTTCCCTTCTCAAGTGACCTTTTAAACAATGAACATAGCAATTTGAAACGCAAAAGCATTGCTCGCATGCACAAATCTATACCTGGAACTTATTGATTAGGTTGTATTTGTGGAACAGTTCGTAGCCGACAAACTTCAACGCATGATTCTCACTGGCCTCGTTCAGTGAGAACACGTCAAATGACCAAGTATCCAGTTCAGCCTGAAAGAAATGGAATTAAATGAAATGAAATGATGAAACGTAAAGTGGACCTTTCGGGTAGGGTCGTTCAAAAAGTGCAGAAGTTTTCAAATCACACGGGGTTCAGATTGTAACAAATTAATTTTTAGGGATAATCGTTTTCAATAAAAATATTTTGTAGACAGATAATCTCACTCACCCTGAATGTATGGACGTTTTTGCAATCATGATTATTTTATCTTAAAGTATGAATAGATGGGTCGGAAGAACATAGTAAGCTGTTTGATCACGTTTAATATGATAAAGTTACAAAACGTTAACTCCTGTATGTGCCAGAGGTGTTACATCCTAAGAGGCAGATTTGCACATCACCTGTCTTGTTCATAGCGTGCTTATAAAAGCACAATCCTTACATTAGTGACTATTTGTGAATAACATGGTCTTGTGCCCTAAATCAGTAGTCTCAGATGAACACCAGCAATAACCGGGAGGCATGATGGGTTTTCATTTGTCAGGCACTTACCATACAAGATATTCTATTATGTTGAAGTCGTCCTGTGGCAGGCTATATGTTATTCATCACTTGGAAGATCACTACCTCTTGCCCCGTTTTGATAAATTAGACAGGGCTTCCCAAAGAAGGTGAATGAACCAAACTACCTCTCAACTGCTGCTCCGGAACAACTTTACCGCCTTGCATGTTCTGCTTCAGTGTATTCAGACTAGTGTAGCATCGAATAAAAATAACCGAACATTTTGAAGGATCCGCTAGTGATCGTATTTCCAATAATCTCCATTTCTCATTGAAATGTTCATACAAGAAACGTGCTATCTCAAAAAAGAGTCGCATAACAGCTATAGTAAGTTCCAAACATAGTATTTGTTGAGACAAAAAAGATACTCAGTCACTGAAGTATGGTATCACTGGAATATCTAGAATATGGTTTCTTATGTCAGGAATTGGTGACAATCCCACGTGTTAGATGTCTATGGCAGGCCTTGTGCTGTGAACTATAGAACAGGGAAATTTGAAAACTTTACTTGGTTCACATAAAATGCAGAGTGANGGGCATATTCTCATCACATATCTTACAAAAACAATGATTAATTTGGATGACCTTGAGTACTGGTCGCCAGTACCACGCTTCGTTTGCAAACCGTTAATTGTTTTCACACCTTGGTTGGAAGAATTGGGGTTCCAAGACTTTTGATCAACTCCCTGGATCACACAAGGTAATTCTAGTAAGATTCACAGGCTATTTATTATAAATTTCACTTCTGAACAATAATAAATTGATTGCTCGAATAAAAAGCGATCCTAAATGTCTATAACTCATTAGCATATCAGCACCGAAGTACACCTATCTAATAAACCTAAATGATCGGACAATATCGAAGTTGAGCCACTTACCTTAAGGAACAATAATACATTTGGTGGAATAACCAAATTTGAGCAACTGGACATACGTCGGTAGATTCTGGAAAAACAAGAGTTAATTTAAAAATGATAGATTTTAATCCAGTTTAACAGTTTTTTAATAAAACCTTAAAAATAACAAGATAAAGTGTTTTCCGAATAGAAGAAGTATATCGATACAAAACGCATATCTAAACTTGATTTCCAATTTACTTGCCCATTGGTTTTTCCACTAACTTTGAATTCATTTTGTGTTGCCTTCGTTTTATTTTTGGCAGAGGATAAACCCCTTTCTAAAACAGAGCCTAATAAAAACCAGTGTCCATCCAGGATAAATATCGGTGTTGGCGATAGCTTCTATTTGGTAGAGTGCCAATGATTATTCCCAATGTTTCAAATCGTGCACACTTTAAACGCTATGCACTGTTATGATCGATTATTTTACAGGATAAATATCGAAGTGCATTCAGCTGCATGCATTTTTATTTAGGTACAGAAGAATGTTGCCTCAATAAGTCCTTATGGCTACGTGAAAGTGGTACTCACATCCAAACTAGGTTTTATGTTTTTCTCGAAATCGTTTGTCTATTTTTATAGATTTCTACAACGCAGAATCAATGCATACCTTTCCACGAATATACCAGCACGAATAGCATTGGCAACACTGCGGAAGCGTGGTTTCTGATCGCCGATGCCCACATTGTTTTGCGTTCTTGTGAATGTGGACGCGAGCCAATCGCGAACTTCGTCCGGAACATACTCTGTTGCGGCCTCGGATAAATCTTCCTCTTCCTCGCGAATGCGTCTATAGGTATTCAGGGTGCAACAACATAGAGTACAGACGATGACAACTTATGTCATATTAATGTAATATAGAAGATTTTACAAATACGTTATAAACCACATTTAAAAAGTTACGAATAACTCTTCAATTGAAATGTTCACTCTGTTTAATAAATAACGCATTTATTGTTACATATCTAGAATGACAAGCAGCGAACTGTAAATAAAAGAACGGCAGAGGAAAAAGGGGCACCATCATGAATGGATAAGGGGATAAGTGCAAAAACATATTTTGCTTGAACACCGAGAATAATATAAGCAAAAACTAATATGATAGAAGAAGAATCTTTTATCACATCAGTATCATTACCTTTCTTAAATTTAAATGTAGAATCTTGATCTATAGGAGCACATAATTTATGAAATAAAACAAAGCTATCCGGTACTTTGTGGTCTAACAAATTTTAAGTGTTCCTACTAATGTCACAGTTCCCTGTTTACCTAAGATTCGTTGATAAACCTCAGAACGTTTTGTTTAGACAGTAAATAATGAATACTAGATTTCGATTGCTCAAATTTCATTTTTGAACGCGTCCGTTAATTTAAAGTCTAATTTTTTCCTGTATTTGAGCGGAAGCAATGATTACTCCTTCGAATGAATGATCATAATGGGTGCTTTCTAGACCCATCTATCGAACCTTACTAAGCAGTAAAAGCCTTACTTAATAATTCTAATGATGCGCATATACATATGAGACATGCAGTTAGCAGGGTATGATGAAATTCTTTTTTACCTACTAGCTGCAATCAAAGAGCGACTCGACTCAAGCACGTTTTAGCCACTTCTCAAGTTCAGTTACCTGATTAAGAAGTTACTATACCGCTTTTGATATTGTTTGATAGTATTTCTTTACAGCACCTACAGGTTAAAAGGTTTTTTGCATGGACCTCTTCTCATTGTACTTCTGTTTTGCCATATCAAGCACGTCTAAATATTGACAAGCAGAAAGTTTCCACAAAATTGCGCAACTTCTTGCTTCATTTACAGACACAATATCCACTGAGTTCAGTTTAATTTTGTAGGATTTGGTAGATTTAAATCCACAAATGTGGTGTAAGTGCTGAACATTCACCCATCCAGGTGCATAAAGCTATTCTTGACTTGATTTGATTAAACTGGTACTGTAATATGTGAATTGTGGGCATCCTATTTGACAGTGGGGTCAAACGTATTTCATTGCCTGAAGAGTAAGTGAAACGTGAACTGAAAAACCCAGGAGCACGGAACAGCTTTTGTCAACTTTGTTGAATCTCATCAGCAGTCTGAATGCAAGGACCCAACCGGCGATCAAACCGCGGGATCATACATAAAGAACGCAAGGATACAAACTACTCGTCGCCAAAGGGCTGATTGAACCACATTGTTCATTTTCTTTATGCACGACATATGACAACCCATCTTTGCAGGTATAGCGACTGCCCATCAATCAATTAAGTTAGTAACTTGTTTTACATAAACCGCAATTATATTTTGATCACAAAAACAATTAATAATCTCATTCTTTGATGGACAAATTGGCAAGCTTTTGCCTCACAAATGGTTAGTGGAAAAGAAATTAAGATTAAAACTCAACTTATTAAGTGTCATTCCTTTCCACAAATTACTTATGAAAAAACCTGCAGTTTTTGATTCCGAGAACATTGTGCCTATTTTATTTTAGAACCTAATGTCAATGAAGGAGTAAAACTTTAACTCGAAAGAATACTTAATAATGGTCCAAAAACCGGCTTCGTTTTTTGGTTGAGCTTGCCACCTGATAGAAAGGTGTTGAACGAAATCACCGTTATGCTTATTTTGGTGGTGCTATAAATGTCCAGTGACCAAATAAAATCAGCGAAAGCAGATAAAACCACTTGCTTAATATCGTTTAAATCAGTGGGTCTCTAGGAGCTGCACTAATCCGTAAGTATTTTGAATCTCGTATGACACGTAACCTATGAATTGCATATTTCCAATTCACTGTAGCATCCAATTTACTCTTTTGGAGTACAAAAATTGACGAACACAACGATAACCGCATTTACTCACTTTTTCTCTGCCACATATGCGGTCTCCATGACATTGATCGCATAGTTCAAGTTCTTCAATAATGTAGCCTTGCCAATCCGATCCTGAGAAACCATCTCGTAAAGTTGGCGCATTCTTGTTGCATAAATTAGGGAGACAGTCAAGCAAAAAAGGAACTTTAAACAAACAAAATGTAAAGGCTTCGTTGAAGCAGTAATTTAAAGTAATTTGATTTGATACGAAATTACACAACTGGTTCATTTTTTTCTGCTTAAGCAACGAAGCTGATAGAGCTTGTATCAGATTCATATTGGTGTATATAAAATCTGCACTTTTGTCTAAGTTTTATCGTGGTAAGTTTATTGAACAGATCTAACGTAGGGGTTGGCTATTTGTATACGTGTCAGTGAGCTTCCATGGGGCACAAATGTGACAACAACCGTTAAGGCGAATAAAAGCCAGTCATGTTCAGTGATTATGCAACAACAGAACTTCAATTTAAAGCCATACATACTTACGATAACTCTAAAGGCGAGGAAAACTTGAGCGCGGCATTACGTTCAGTGCGAATTAGGAAAGACGAATAAGACATTAGTTCCCTTATGTAACCGAGGTATTAAATAATCCATCTCAATTCTAAGGGCATTATTTTGCATAAATGATCACAAGCACAAAAAATTCATTAAAAGTAAATCGGAACTGGATTGATTGTATTTAGGTGTACCATACTGCTATTTGAAAACATCACATGTCCAAATCTAACAAACTAGATTTTTATTGACGCAAAACTAGTGGATACTGATGTGCACTTTTGAATAAAAGATACACACAAATTTAGCTTTCTTCTTTTAGTATACAGCATGAGCTAAAACTCCATTAGAAGGCTGGTTTAGCAAAGCCGACTCGTTAGAAATTCTCTGTCGATTTCCCGGAGAACTTCGTGTTTACATTGAGTCAATATCGAAAACCGAAAATATTCAACTTCACGGATCTGAGGTACCGTGTGTTAGGACGGAGCCTAAGAAACCCGTCCGATCGCGCACGCCTCCGAGTCAGGCCACACGCACGCTCGCAACGCTCCAGACAGGCTGAACCTGATTGGATGATCACAGAACGTATCAGCCAATGTTTGTCCAATCGATCAATCGATATGTCAAGGGCACTATCTGATTGGTGCGTCACTGCGCCGTCCTCGTATGCACGATTAGTTCTATATCTTTTGACAAATCGATAACTTATCGAAGAATACACGCTGACTGTGTCGCAACTTGTGTTCTCTCTCCGCGTTGTCGTTGGGGGTTAAGCAAGAGTCGCTCGTGCCATTCGTACTCATAGACGAACCACAACACCGTGTACGGTCAGAGCTTCTGAATGACAGTTTTCTAACATGACATTTTTTCTAAAATGCTACATTTTACATGCGAGACACGTTTTTGTACAATCTGTTATCCTTAACTTTAAGGGTGATTTTGCCATTATTTATTGTTCTCCCGATCTATATCACCGAAGTCCTTCGTAAAACAGTTTTGCTATGTCACGTTCACACTATTCATCAACATTGTATTTTCAATCATTCAAACAATTGCGCTATTCTCCATAGAATTACTCAAGGGTTGTTCAAAGAATCGCCGTTGCGTGAAGTTTTTTGAAATCATTACTTCCATATTTAAATTAAAATGGTTCAGAAGAGCAAGCCACTGTCATAAGCAGATTGCTTATTTCAATTTGTTCTTTGCTATCTTTCAGAGAAATGGGTATCCTCTGATGATCAAGATGCGGAAGAAATATTACATACTTATATAATATTTCCTAATTGTTATTTGGACGTCCTCCAAATATTTTTAGTATCTTTCTCTCTTCTGTCTTAATGACGTTTCCAAGGCAACCATTTGTGATCAAATAGTTGGAATCAAAATTTAAACATCAGTTCTGGCCACAAAACTGTTAATTTTGTAAAATGATTATGTCAGAACAGCACTTATAGATTCCTGTGTCCAGTAATAATCTATGGGGCATTGCCTATTAATGTAAGGTTATTCGGAACCAAGTTCAAAAGAAGTGTTAGAAATTAAGTGATTTCAGCTGCTGGGATGATTAGTTTGCTTAAAATTTATCATTATGCAGGCATTTCCAAGATAGATTTATTCAACGGTTACCCTAGAGATAAAACCTCATTAGACAGAAGCACGTTCCTATTGTTGTGACAAAAGCAACTCCCAGTAACCCATTTTTAAGGATATGATACATTATTTTGAGAATAAATAGTTCAAACAAAACGAAACAAAATATTATCAACTTTCACAATGTTTAAATGATAAAATGGCTCTATATCGCAATTATTTTTTAATATCCAAACACGATGTGTTACATAAACTATTCGCCGATTTACGGATGCAATTAATTATTTACATGACATTCTTTTTTCTTTTTCTTTGTTGATAAATCAGCGTGTCTTCGATATACGGAAGTCACGGTAATATAGCGGAGCGAATATAAAGAGGAGTGTTTCGCTTAGAAAAAATATTGGTTTACTTTTTCCATGTTCAACGTTTTACTATAGATTTATTGAAGTCTTCCATTGATAACGCTCTCAGTTCACGAAATAGAACCTACCGAATGTAACATGCTCTAAGAGATTCCGGGGTATTGGCCGTGTATAAGTAATCCGTATCGGTCGGAAGATTGACATATTCACGCAGAGTACATGTGGCCAAATTTTTGTAGTGCGAAGCCGAGACCCCTTGATTAACACACTCAACATCCAGCTGAGCATCTGTAACTAGGGGGCCGATGGTTTGTAATGGTGCGTCTCGGTCACCTGAGAAAAGGAAAAACATGACTATTAGTGATGGATTATTATTGACACCCTAACAAAGAATAAAACAAGAGAAATGCCAGTTCTGATGTTTGTTTATTGAAAAGCAATTGTAATTTTATTATTATACGGTTCGTAAATCGTACATGCTGACAGTCAGAACATTTGCAGAAACAACACATGTTGAAATTGATTTCCTATTCATTGGGAAAGAGTTGATCCATCATCAATTTCGCGTCTTATAGAATGAATGCATGAGCCGAATAATCTCTTGGAACTCTATACTATTATACAACTTTGTTGAATATCTGTAAGCAGTGTAGTACCGGCAAATGGATATAAACACATGCTATTCCTCAATTCATGCTACCTGGCGCTGTAACAGATATTCTCTTATAGCGCAACCCGTGAGGTACTCTGTTCTTGAATATAGAACGTGCATGACTTAAATTTGGATTAATTGTATTGATAAGCTAAAATACAAAGGGAAACTTGATTTACGGTAAGCAAAGACCGATCATCATGCAATTATTGAGGGCCATATATGAATAAACATAAAGCAAAGGAACACTTGAATCCAGTTGCTGATCACAGAATCCCAAAAACCATAATATTGAAGAAAATTGGATTTTTAAATCTGGGAGACACCAAATAGAAATGTCATTCATATTCCCTGAAGATTTCCAGTACAAATCATAGCGTCTAGAAAATAACTTGTTTATTTCCTGAATTTATAATTCACCATTCCCGGATATTTATATTAATGCACAGGGTATCAGAAATAGAAACCACAGTAAATAAACCTATGACGAAAATAATAAAGATAAAGCATTTAAAAATTTTCTATTTTTACCAAGAGAGACATAAAGACCCTAGGAGAAGAAAGTCTTGAACTTAGTGTTATAAAATGACTTCACCGGAAGGAAGTAATCGACTTATTTTTTTTGGATCTTAACATTATAACCCAAGTTGACTCTCTTTTCAAAAACTGAATCTCAATGCTTATCTTTGAACCCTTTATATATTAAACTATTTAAATTCACGATGGTTTAGGATTTAAATCAGTTACTTTTTTAGTGAATTCTCAAATAGGTAACATCCAAGACCAGAATAAAAACTTCCAAAAAAATCGGGGACTGCATAGTTTATTTTTCATATCACGTTAAATCAGAGACTAAAAGCACCACTAGTTGTCATGACTAAAACTGCTTCGTTTCTTTTGATACACAATTACACAGTCGTTCCACTGTAAACACCCGTGTATAATTCGCCGGTTGAGGGAGTAATCTGAGTCAAATTACCAGGTGCATGCATAAGCTGGCATTTCGGTGCAAAACAAGCAACAGTGTCACATTTATCGGCATAACCTCGATATCAGAGCAAGTGACACGACACATTGGATTCGGCCAGTCGCAGGTCGCCAGTCAGAAAACATGGACGGACATTGGACATTGACAAGCAGGAACAAAAGTTGAGAAAACGGAGCAAGCAGATATCGGTGCAGATGGAACGAGCAAGAGAGCGGTAGTATTTGAACAAACGCTAAACAAAAATTTACACTAAATGAAAAACAACTCATGCAGCTACCCACCTTTACCCCCAGTGCAACTGCACAAACGAGCTAGAATCTTGTGCGAATGTAGATACAGGTGCCGAAGTCGGCCCCTGAGGCCTACAGAAAATAAGTAACATATATGAAATTCGTTTTCATGGGTTAAGATAGATAAACTGTATTCAGCAGAATTAAATTTTATCCAATATGATGAAATCGTCTTTGAGCAATGAGTTCAACAAAAGCTTTTTTAACACATCATTTTTGTTTTGTCCTTCGGTATTGAGGGCGTTTTGTTAGTGCAATTATCTTTCTATCACTGTTCTGTTTTCTCCAACTATTTTTCTAAATACTTCATCAGCATTCATGCTACAGTCCACCAGTTAGCGAAGTAACCAAACAAATGTTTTATTACGTTGAACTGGGAAACTAAGATCATACTGTAATTTATTCCAGATGTGGAAATCCCGTTTACTAATCTAATTCTCGCCAGGACGAACGGAGTGACCGAAGTAGAGGTCGAAAATTCAGTTTGAGAACCAGGCTGTGATCTATTGTGCACATATATTAGTATGCTTGCATTGTGCATTTTATTTTTCGAAACTGTTACCGAATAAAATGTAAGAAAGCAAAACTATTTTTTGCGGTCTGTCTTACACGAATGTATCTAAGTATAGCTGCTTTCACTTCAAGTGATGTCCCAAGTGGATGGTTAATCGCCAACGACATCGAGTTCAACGTCTCCGAATGCAGAGTTATTCCCATGCGGCATAAGACTCGTTTCTCCCATGTTCTGAGGAACCAAACGTTACCGTATGCCACTGATGAAAGGGATTTGGGAGTTATGGTACAGGAGGACGTAGGATGTTCCACGCACTGTGCTAGAGCATCATCTACGGCTCTAAAGCAAGTGGGACTAATCAGACGTGTTTTCGGGCAGTTTGAAAGAACACTGTTCCCACGCTTGTTATCAGCGTTCGTTTGGCCACACACGGAGTACGCCGTTCAAGTATGGAATCCATGGTTAAACCGCAACAAGAGGGCTCTGGAACGTCCGCAAAGGCTGGCAACGAAATTGGAAGCTATACTCCGAAAGACTGCAACTATTGGGACTCCACTCATTCCCATACCACCGACTTCGAGGGGACCTAATCTTGAGATATCACATACTGCATCAATCCAACCACCCCTGCCGTTCTATGCTGACTTTATTCTAAAATGACCACCTCCTGAGACATCCTATAAAGGTGAAAGCCAGCCACTCTGATTGCCGGCATCACTCGTTTGCAGTCAGAGTGTGCGGGGGATGGAATTCTCTTTCATCTGAAGTAGTGTGTGCTCTTGCAGTTGAACTATTCAAATCACAACTTGATAAAGCATTGGAACACTTAAAATTTCAACATCCGTGAGTGACCATGCACATTATTATCATTGTTATTCTCTCTTTGTAAAGTTATTCAAAACATTCTGTAAAAGCCTATGGTACATGATAAGCTTTAGCTTTGTTAAATCGCCCATAATAAAACTTTGACTTTGACTTTGCTTAATAACAACTCATTAAACGTGAATCGCCTCTGGCGATGCTGCCCGAAAACGTATCTGGCTCGAAGATAATAACGCAATAGTGCGTAAGATTATTGCTTCAAATGAGTAATTGCTATCAACTTTAATAAACGTTGAATCATTTGAGCTTTTTGGTATACTGCAAATCTTCCGCTTCATAAGTTCGGATTGTACAGGAAAAAGCCGATTTGGTGAAAACTGAAACTTAGTAGCAGCCTGTTTTTTCTCAAGTTTACATACCGTATGTTATTTTCGGAGTGCCCTTCCGATTTGTATAAGTTGCTTGATATCATCATGAGAAACTAAGACCCAAAGTAACCAGGCAATGCTTCAAACCAGCGAACAGTATACAATTCATATGAAAATGCGAAATATCAAAATGGGTGCACAGAAAACGTCAGAAATAGTGAATAACAGTGAAGCACCGTAGTGGATATCGGAATTCATTCTAAACATCAAATTGGGAAAGCATGTCACCAAATACCAAACGAGTGATCCTACTGATGTTTCGCAAAGTGTGTTGGCCGAAATTGGAGGAGTTGACACTAAAGCACCATTTAAGCTTGGGATAAATAATAAGAAGTATGCAATACAGACAAATGAACAATACCAAATTGTCTGACAGAACTGTAACTTGTTATTTACTGGAATGTTAGTATTATCAAGAGCATTCTTATCAAAAATGAACTGCAAGTTTCTTGCAATTCTCAGAATTATGCAGGTTATCTATTTGTCAAATCGTTTGTCTAATTGCAATACAAACTTCGCATTTATTCTAGGATGGTAGTTTTCTTCGTACGCCACCAACCATTCCACCTAAGGTATGGGATCTGGCACTGTTGCTGGAGTTAATCATCCATGGAAGCCTGTTATTTTTTTTTGGTGGTATTGCAGAATCATAAAAATGACTAACTCATAGAAGAGACTATTCACTATTTATCGATCGATTACAATAATTGTGCATCTCATGGCATACAGCGCCATCTTTTCGCAGAAAGCTGAATTTTTCAGTTAAAGCCAGATTTTTACAATATCAGCGATCAAAAATTTGCTATCACTTATACAACACCAGGGGTTTTTTAAACTAGCTCTATCATGCGCAAGTAAATCAAAATCCTGGATATAAGAAAGTGTTGAAGACTAGCACGAGTACGAGCACTTTTGTACACTTTGAGCAATGAAGTTGGTACAAAGGTCATAAGAATATGTCGTATGCCTTATTTGTCTTGTATACACGAAGTGCAAGAAAACTAGATACTATTGTGTGAGGAAGTGCAACTACCAGCGTTCGGATATGAGAGTATCCGAAGCATGATATACAAGAAACCATAAGATTTATTTAATGTGTCCTGCTGAACCTGTGATGTAGTTTGTAAATAACTATATTAGTCGGAGCTTACACAGCAATGTATAAACTGTGATAAAATATGAAACTAGTTTTAAAATTTAAGAACGCAACTATTCAAACGCCACTCTTATGAGATCATAGGGTTAACGAGGCTCCTAAATTGCAATCAATGAAGTCGCAAAGAATGCCACGTTAATTATCAAATTGTTTTTGAGTAATTAGTTAAATACGCCCTGATCTAAGAGCGAATTCAGTAGAAACATTGAAAGCTATTCTACACTGGTTACAGTATTACTTTAGTAATATCGACAACAGATTCGCCCTGTAGGATCTCTAATTATAACCACCATTATTAACCCAAATTTATAAAACAAAACCGTCCGTTCATTCTGACTACACCTCCAAAAATATCAAGCGGTGTTGTGACGGACGCACTCCCGCGTTTCTTCTCGTGCATTAGATATTTACTGCGGGGAATCTAAGCTTACTCTCGCAACATCGCAAAAATATGGAACATTAAACAGAATAAATTAAATTTGA